TTTATAACTCTGCATGAGTCCTAGCCTCCTCAAGATTTTTTTCCAGTCACCCCTATCCATCATCTTCCACTTCCAGGCACGTATTTCCATATTTCTCATGTCGTGAAATGAAATGAAATTATATATTATTAATTAAAATAAAATTGAACTAAACAGTGTATAATAACAATTGCATCTGATATTGATCTTCCATTGCGCTGATTGCATTAATCCTGATTTTTAGTCGGATATTTCTATTTTGTCACGTATATACTCGACACATATTTTCATAGTTTCGCTAGTAGGTAATTTAATGGCATTGTTAAACAATTTGTGCATTGTTACACAATCTTTGTCAATCAACTATTATTACTATTATACCTAACTTGATCTTAAGGCCCAATTTTCTTGTTATCTATTAAGTGAATACATTTTATATATTCTACTTTGTTCTTGTGACCTTCCTTGTGTCATAAATCAATTTAATTTAATTTCTAAAGCATCAAAGCATTTAAAATAAAATATCTATTATTTTGTTTGCATATATTAGACTTTTTTGGAATCTTATAATAACCATCTTTATTCGGAAATTATGCATCAGACTTATTTGTTTGGTTATCAAAACGATTTTGGAAATCGTTTCGAATTCTGAAATGGAAATTGGAAAACTTTAACCTTTAATTGTGGTTTATTCCCATTTAAAATGTAATTAATATGTTTGTTGATTTTACCGTCATTATGTTTTATTTCTTTACTCTATTTGGAGTACCAGAAATTGAATTCACTACGAATTTTGACAATAATGAACGGCATGTGGAATGCAATTTTAGATTTCCTTGTCGAGTAATTTATCAAGCTGTTTGCTTTTAAGTTTTAGAAAGCACAGTGGTAAAAATTTGAATTCGATTTCGCCAGGTAGAAATCGTATTATTTTTTTTTTGTTATTCGATGGCGTAGTTACGTCCGTATATCTACGACGAGAATAGATTTTGTTTCGATTCAGATTAGTGAATATACCGCTCTGAGGAGACCAAAAGAGATCGAAATACGTATAAGCGGCTTGACATTGCTCTGTATCGACACAAAAATCTGGTACCTAGTATTATTACCTTGTAACATCCATCTTGGAATGTTGTGTAGTTTGGCCGCCCTACTTTCAATGCCATATTGACCCATTAGAGGCTGTTTAAGATACGTATTCGAGATACTGTGCATTTATAACTAACATGTTTATTATTCATTATTATACTAATATCGAGCAACTACTAGGATTACTAACATAGTAATAAGTATTGATTCCCCTTACCTTCTGAATGAAATCAGATTTATTGTTCCTTATTTAGATTTGACGCAGTCTCTCTGCAAGACCAACCAGGAAACACAATAAGAAGTGAAATTGATAAATAATGGTGAACAAGAGATTTCGTAATGGATGCCTTTCAGTTTAAAATTACCCCGGTACTGACGTAACGTCAGACCATATTCCTGTTATTGGTGAATTAAGGTTTAGATTTAAAATGGTTATAAAAAAGAACAGTAACCAAAAGTGTGATATGAGAAGACTCAAATACAAGAAAAGAACGTTTAAAGAAGATCAGAGAAGAACATTTAATAGAAAATTAAGAGAATAGGAAAAGTTAGATGAATGACAATATACTGCAACTCATGGAAGAAAGAAGAAAATCAAAGAATAACAAAAGAATGTACAAAAATATTCAAAGACCAATAAGAACTGAAATATGAAAGGCCAAAGAAAATTGGTTAAAAAGACAGTGTGAAGAGACAGAATTGTTGAAACAAAAACACGATACATTTAATATGCATAAAAAGGTAAAACAAGCAGCTGGTCTTCAAAAATTCAACACAGCTAGCAAACTTCAAGATCAACAGGGGAACATCATCACAGATAAAAATCAAGAAATATGCATATGGACCAAATACATACAAGATATCTTTGATGATAATAGGTCTGAACAACCTCCGTCTTACATATGTAATAACCACTTACATCAGATGAAGTGGAAAAAGCAATATCACAACTAAAAGATGGCAAAGCTCCTGGACCTGACAATGCATATACTGAACTCATAAAGCTATTGAACACCGACGGTACTCAACGACTACCAAAAAATTCAATTACATATATTTAAACGAAGTAATACGAAGATCATGGCTGAAGTCAACGTTTATTGCTCTACCAAAGAAAACAAAATCCGTATCCTGCAATGATTTCCGGACCATCAGCTTAATGAGCCACATTTTAAAGTTATTTCAAAAAATCATACATCAAAAGATATATTAGAGTATTCGAAGAAAAAATCAACCGTGCACATTTTGGTTTTCGGAACGCAGTGGATACGAGGGAGGCTCTATTTAGCATACAAGTGATATTTCAGCAATGTAGAGATGTTAATTGCGATATTTATGCATGGTTCATTGATTAGCATAAAGCGTTCGATACAGTAAAATACGACAAGCTGATGGAGATATTAACAAATATTGAAATAAACACCTGTGATCTAAGAATTATTAGCAATTTTTACTGGAATCAAACATCGTCTATCCGTACAGAGGCAGGAGAATCTGATGATATCAAAATCAAACGTGGTGTCCGACAAAGAATTATACTATCACCCTTGCTGGTTAACATATACTCAGAGGAAATCTTTCAAGAAGCAGTAGAGGATGTTAAAGCCAAAATTCGAAATAAGGGAGAATGTATCAATAACATCAGATACGTGAATGGCACGGTGGTATTCCCTAGCAGTTAAAAAGCCCTCTAGGAGTTATTGAATAGAATCACAGAACTGGGTCAGAGATATGGACTTTCACTGAACTTTAAGAAAACAAAATGTATGATGATCTCGAAGAAGGAATAGCAAATTGAAAAAATGAATGTGAATGGTTAACCAATAGAAAGAGTAAAAACATACACCTACCTTGGTACGAACATCAATGAAAATTGGGATCATTCCCTAGAGATAAAATATAGGATAGAGAAACCAAGATCTGCATTTCAAAAAATGGCTAAGCTATTCAAATGCCGTGACTTATCAGTGCACATAAAAATCAGTTTACTATGATGTTATATCTTTCCCATACTATTGTACGGAGTTGAGTTGTGGACTCTAACAGGCGCTACCTACAAGAAAATTGAGACTTTCGAAATGTAGCTTTATCGTCGATTCCTGAAGATATCCTATACCAACAACGTTACCAACCAGGACGTTTTATTACAAATGCAAAAAGGAAATGAGTTGTTAACCACAATAAAATCAGCCAAAATCCGTGGTCACATTATGAGGAACAGCAAAAGCCATGAGTTGCTCCAATCGATTCTACAAGAAATAGTAGAAGAAAAACAAGGCGAAGGATTTCCTGGATGAAAAATCTACGTACTTGGTTCAACACAACAACCACAAATATTTTCATAGCAGGAGTTTGCAAATAAAGATTGCCATCATGGTCGTCAACATCCAAAACGGATAGCCACTACAAGAAGAGATTTAGGTTTGCGCATGATGGATTAGTATCCCTTTATCGACCATCATGGTGGTAATTTAACACAAATTTGAGTTAACTTAAGAACTCTTTTGTACTTTCATAAGTTTATTATTTCTGTATTATTGTATTTTACTGTTATTGGGGTTATTATGTTAAGACATAAATAAATAAAAAAATAAATGTTAAATATGTGGACTAGTCTTTGCAGACTATCTCATCTTGGACTATTAATATTGCACCGTCTGCGTAACAGAGCATTAAGACTTCTTTGTTTTCCATTCTATATCCTCTTCCTTTTTTTAACTTTTAATGATTTCCGGTTAAGATGGAAATTTTTATTAAAAAATACGATTAGGATGGGATTTTTTATTAAAAAATTCTTGTCTTCGTCGGATAGGTTTTCACCTGCAATCATTCGGATATAATACACGACCACCAGTAATTACAATAAAGCCGACTTTACGTCATAGTAAGACATTTACTTAACACACACTACAAATGAACCTTGTGTATAGTATGTGACTGTTTATAAGACCAATGGTCTAATTCATAATAAAGAATATTTAGTCTAATTGGGACACTTCATCTTTTACAATATTTAAATAATAAATTTTACATTTTTCGTCTTATGGAGGCCATATACGTTAGGGTTTGCATGATGGTTTTAACCTTGAATGCATAACCGACAGATATAATCGAGTTCCATATTACACATACACGTTAGGGTTTGCATGCACAGTTTTGCCATTAACTCTTCTGTTAAGCTACGTGACGGTGTGTGCAGGACGCCTACGGTACTTTGTGCGGTATATACCTACCAAACCACAATGGACGACAACGATGTGATAGCTGTACTTGGCTTAACACTTATTCTTCAGAAAAGAAAAAAAGAAATCATTTCTCCCACCGAAAATTTGATAAATGAATTGAGATTTAAACCAACAGATTAAAAAAATAAAAACTTTAGTTGAAACTATTATTGATTACTCCGTTAATACAAAGACAATATACTGTTATGAGGGAAGCAATATCAGCACATGAGAGACTAGCAGTAACATTAAGATTTCTTGCAACAGGAAGAACATACGAGTGTCTAAAATATTCTGCTATTATATCATCTCAGGCTTTGGGCTGAATAATACCTGCAACATGTGATGCTATGAAAACTATGGCAGGCAAGCTAGCCGGACGCCACATATTCTAGGGTATGCTCGCAGGCAAGCAAAACCGAGCGGCATAAAATATGAATTTTTCATATTTGCTCGGTTGCATGTACATGCACCGATAACTGTACAGGTTTTTATCACATGCACGCTAGGGCTTGCCTGTCGATTATACATGGAAGGTTAAAACCATTATGCAAACCCTAACGTGTATGACCTCCATTACAGTTTATAAAGTCTTTTACAGTTTCCATCTATCAGTTTTTAAAGTCTCTAGCAATTTGCAATTGCCCTACTCAATGCTTTTGGTCTTATACATTTTATACATTTTAGCAAATAAAATAAATTTAAACCAACTGCTAAAATAATTTATAATATATCTTAGATTCAATGGTACAAATCATTTATTAAAATCTCCTCCATAATATCCTGTGGTAAATAAGCAGATCGAGATTCTACATTCTGGACTCTATCTACTAGGTTATGTGTTTCGTAATTCGTAGTAGGGGCCAATTTCACGCGGTTTTGGAGACGGTTATAATTTTCGTCATAGTTTCTTGGACCTTCTCTCATGTGTGTCGGTAGATGTTTTGTTCCATGTAGGATTAACATTGTATCGCCCACAGAGCCTATGTGCTTCTTAGAGGAAGTCTAAAAAAAGATATTTGTAAATTAGAAATAATATCCAACTATAAAAGCATTATGAAAATATTTATATATTAATTTTACTAATAATGGATAATTTATTATTAATTGATAATTGGAACGAGAACAAGATAATGATAATGGAGTAACTGCTAGATATATTATCAAAACGTTTGAAAGTGAAATAGTACTTTGTACACTGAGTATGGAATTAATATGAGTTATGATAGACCACAATTAAAGGTTAAAATAAGTTTATTGACGTTTCAATTGTCACTTCGGAAATCGTTCAAACAAAACAAATTGCTCAAAATACAAACAATAATAATTAAAAAAAAAAATTGTATTACTTGGTGAAAAATTCTTCTAATAATTTCATATTGACAATTCAGACATATATTATACATTTTAAAATAGAGGACTTAAAAATGATATTGCCAATATTTCTGAGTTGCGTTCCTGGGACGACTTTATTGTAAGATAGTTCATTTGATTACATAAATCAACTTTAACTTGAGAATATCCGTCAGAAAAAATTATAGCATGTGATTCGTCTTTGGACTCGAACTAAATGTAAGACCAGTATTTGGTCTTACATTTAGTTTACTCTCAATAAACATCAAATTCTGGTTTTATATGATTGTTATTTAAAAAACATAAATGATGTGTGCTCGGTATGTCACTGAATTACTAATACTGGTATTTTCCTTTTATTAACTTCCTCTTTTAAAATGAATAACCAGGTGCTACTCCATTCTGCTGAGGAATTTGCTACACAATTAGTCTCATTTAGCATAATTTAGGGCTGGTTCTTTGATTTTTCTCTTTTCACCACCTTCCTCTTAGGACTATATTTAAATTATTCCATTGAACTCTATGGACTTCTCTATCATGGCCTTCATGTTTTACCTAAATAAAACTAATCGCATTCACTAGGTATATTATAAATACAATTCTTTGTTCTTTTTTCTTCATTTTTATATTAGGTCTTAGATAAAATAAATCTCAATATGTTTGTTATTTTGAATGTTGAATTTATTTCCTACCCTTTAAAGATTTTCTGATAATCCTTTTATGTATGGTATTGTTATTTTGCTCGTATTATTTCTTGTGTATGCTGTAGGACTCGTGCTAAGATGTTCTGTTCCATTCAGTCGATTGTTGAAAATGACTTATTTGTAAACAATAAAGGATAATCATTTTTTAATAAAAAAGATGTTAACAAATAATGTATCTCCTACAAGAACAAGCATTTTTGGCTCTATCGTATAAGGATTTAATGATAATTTAATGACAACAAGAAAGAACAAAGAATTGCATTTATAAAATACCTTGTAAATGCGAGCAGTTTTATTTAGGTGAAACATCAAGGCCATTAAATATTAGAATTGGTAAACATCAATCATATATAAATAATAGAGAATTTAATAGATCTCAAATATGCAAACACACATGAGGTAATGAACGTAGTGTTAAATGGAGTTATTTAAGTAAAAGAAAATTCGCCTAAAGAAAAAAAGTAAAAAAAAATCAAAGAAGCGGCCCTAATTATGCTAAATGAGACCAACTATGTCGTAAATTCCTCGGCAGATCGAAGTAGGATCTAGTATTATTAAAAGAGGAAGTTAATAAAAGCAAAATACCAGTATTAAGTCAGTAATATATCGAGGATACATCATTTATGTATTTTAAATAATAAACATATAAAATCAGAATTTGGTGTTTATTGAGAGTAAACTAAATGTAAGGCCAAATACTTACTATAGTATAGGGATATAGTATTATCAGGTTTTTTTCACTATATAATACTATAGAATTACTAACAGGAGAATTTAACTGTCATCATAGATGTGGTTTTAAAGACGAATTACATGCTATGATTTTTTTCTGAAGGATATTCTCAAGTTAAAGTTGGTTTAATGTAATCGAATGAACTATTTTACAATAAAGTCGTCCAGGAATGCAACTCAGTAATATTGGCAATATCATTTTAAAGTCGTCTACTGTAAAATTTATAGAATTAAATTATTAGAAGAATTTTTCTCCAAGTAACAAAAAACAAAATTTGATTAATTTTATTAATGTTAGTATTTTGTGAACGATTTCAGATTGGGTTATTCAATCAACGGTTAGATGAAAAATATCCTTCCTACAGTATGAAGAAAAAACTTTCTACAGTCGAGGGGTAAGAGAATATGGAGAAAGTATTATAATTTTTAACCGCAATATAATTTCTCTATCCTCAGTTTCTGTAAATGGTATATCTTGTTGGTGTAATGATCAATCCTAAACTTTAAGAATTACAAATATTAAAATTATTCTAGTAAGAGTATGCAATATTATATAAGTTGGCTGCAGGAAAATCAGTTTATAAGAAACAATATTCTTACTACATCCGTAATGACTATTGTCCAAATTCCCTCAGCAATCTCTCCCCAAGTCATAACAGACATGAAGGTCCAGTTTTGAAACCCTTGTGAACTTTTGTCTAATTTTCTTGGAGCCAATAGGTTTACCATCGTGCCTGTAATTTAAAAATATACAAATAAATAAACTTTTCTGATTAAGAAGGTTTATAATTAAATCTATCCGGATTCAATCGACCTATTTCTGCAACTTTTCTTGGTCTTTCATCTGCAACTGCTGCAGACAATATCTACTTTGGCGAAAGTCAACATAGACGTAACCTTATATCGTTCAGTTAACTGCTATTGACTTTCCTCTGGTGGATTGCCTATTTTTGGCTGGTGTGTTTTGTCTGGTATGTTTTGTTTTTTTTGATGCAAATTGTTTGGCTATTTTTTTTTTGGCAAACAAAACCATGATAGCCTTGTTGATTGCCAACATCCGGACCGGATAAGGCAATGAAGAAGAAGATTTTGGCAGTGATGACCTACGGCGCAGAAATCGTAACACTCACAAGCGCAAGAGTGAGTAAAATACAAGTTGCGAAAAGGGCAATGGAGAGAATAATGTAAGGGATTTCTTTACGTCATAGAATACCCAATGCTACTATACGCAAAAGATCAGGAGTAGCTAACGGTATTGAAAGGATAACAACACTAAAGTGGAACTGGGCAGGTCATGTAGCAAGATCAGTTGATGACCGGTGGACAAAAAGAATTTTGAAATGGAGACCCCGAATACAAGCTAACAGAAATAGAGGTCGACCCCAACGAGATGGACAGATGACATAAAAAGAGTGACTACAAATTGGATTCAGATGGCGCAAAATCGGACCAAGTGGAAAAGCATGCGAGAGGCCTATGTTCAGCAGTGAACATTAGAGGGTTTTAGTAGATGGAAGGTTTCACACAGAACAAACAACTCTCAATCACCATTTATTTGTTGCTTAGACAATGCTAGAAGGAAAGTCAATATTTAGTTTATTGGAACTAAATCTATAATGATCAGATCCAAGAGTTTTATCTAATGTTTGTCAATGAGCTACTACAGTTAACCTAGAAGTTACTAACGTTATGTCTACAGCTGATTACCACTTAAACTCGACACCGCATGATAAGCCTTTAAGTGAGGAACACCAATTAAAAAGCTGTTCCCATTCTCGGCCTTTATAGTTTAAATAAGCCTTTTTTTACAAAACGGATACTTTAGTTAATTAATATATCACTTACCTGCAGGTGAATATAATTTTATTTGCAATGATCCTCTAGATGTGTAATTTATATTAGTTTGTAACTCAACATGTTCCAAATATTTCAGTTCATGATCTGTCTGTTTACATCCACTCGAAGTAATTTTTATTTTTACTGGTTCACTGGATGATAAGGTAGAATTCGTTCTATAATATAACTTTAAAATTAAAAAATTGAAAAACGTATGAACAAACAATATGAAAAATTTTAAAGTACAGTCAACCCATTTCCAACAGTATTTCACTCTTCGTTTTCCGAGCCATTAGTTTGTAGGTTGCTATTGATGGTTGTATTCTTTATCTTATACACTTATACTTATATTACTTATATTATATACACTTATATTATTGTTACTAACATGCATTCAGTGTGGCCCGCCTAACAGTTGCATCTCGAAGCATCTCGGGCATCGAGAATCATCGATAGATCTTTCGACCGAAAGAGAACAATCCGTCAGGTATTTGACTGAATTAGAATTAGAGGTGGGAATGTTCTAGCATATAGTAACTTTGGTATATATATATATATATATATATATATATATATATATATATATATATATATATATATATGTAACGGTGTTAGGAGTGAGTTTAGTTGATAAGAGAATACCGAACTGTAAAGTTATAAATAAATATATTTATATAAATTCGAACCGCTCGTTTTATTTAATCTCGCTACATTATATATTCTTATATTACTTAACTAATAAGTTTAGTTCCTCATGTTTCGGTATCTCTACCAAAGAAGAAGCTTACTAGTTTAATAGATGTCTTGGAAATAAAGCATCCAAGAGGTCTTGCTGCAGTGAAGCTGTCTAGTCTAAGGGATAGCGATATGTGCCTTTCTCTCTTAATGTTTTTGCTTTTAAATTTTACCCCTTAATTATGCCTTTTCTCCATATGTGTGCACGTCCAAAAACCACCATACTTGATCATTGGCTGTCTATCATTAGATTGTGTGTGGCGGTCGATCAGCTGCCGATTTGGCAATTAAATTTTGCTTTCCTCACCAGCTGGTCGTGGTTTACTTCATATTATCATATACTACGTGGCTATCTCAGCCGTGCCAGTCTCAGCTTTTGTGGAGGAGGAGCTCTGAACTGAGTAGGGGCTCTTGTGTACTTCACTGGAGACAGACTGGGAGGGGGATATGCAGGACAGGTACGAATAAGGTATTGCCAAATAAGTACCTGCAGATCCACTGAGAATATGACATTAAGCAGCAGTAATGTCATTACTGGATTAAGGCTGTGGGAAGTAAAAATCCTGTAGGCTTAATTCCAGATACTCACAGGCGACACTCACATTATGAGTTAAGCATCTGTGATACTGCGATCTTAGGGCACTCTTTTGCCCTGGAGTTTGAGAAATCGGCTTCGAAGGCGGAGGAACTAAGACTTTTAATGAACGGCATAAGGATGCAGAAGGCAAGGTAAAACCACTGCATTAAAGACTTTTTGTAAGTATCTCTAGTACAATTATCATGGTGATAAAAAACTTTAAGATTCCGACTACTGATCATGAAAAATTAGAATTCAAGAACCGACAGGGAAGGTGAATCTAGCTCAAACCGTGAGGTCTTCCAGGTCGTTATCAGAGAAATCCTCACGAACCAGATTACATTCTAGATGATGGATCTCTAAGAGTATTGCGAACAGCCATAAAGATAGGTACATGAAACGCTAGAACAATGTACGAGTCGGGAAAAATCTATAATACCATTCAAGAATTGGAAAGACGCTCGATTAGTATTATGGGAATAAGCGAAATGCGCTGGAAAGATACGGGATACCGAGTTATCAAAGATCACAAAATATTCTACTCAGGATATCTTAACAATGAACATATAAATGGAGTGGGCCTAATTATGAATAATAAAATCGCCAATTGTGATAGTCACTTTGTACCTGTATCAGAAAGGATGCTCTTAGTTCAGCTAAACACAACTCCAATAAAAACAAACATTATTCAAGTATACGCTCCTATAGTGGACGCCCCAGAAGAAATTATAGAAGAATTTTACAATGGCCTTACTAATATTGTCAAAAGGATTTGGAAAAACGAAATAATACTAATAATGGGAGACTTTAATGCCAAAGTTGGCAAAGGACAAAGTGGAAATTTAGTGGGATCCTTTGGTCTAGGGGAACGCATTGAACGCGGAGACCGTTTGATTGAATTTGCAACTGAAGAACAGCTCGTATTGACAAACACCTTTTACGATCTTCCGATCTTCCTCCAAGACGACTATCTACGTGGAAATCTCCCCAGGATACTCCAGATCACACAGTATGAAATCAAATAGACTATATTCTTGTTACGAACGATTTAGAAACTCTATAACATCTGTTAAAGCGTACCCGGGATCCGACATAAATTCGGACCACAATCCACTTATCGCCAAAATGAAACTTAGTTTAAAGAAACTTCAAAGACCAAAAACTACGAAGTTACGATATTAACCAACTGAAAAATAAAACAGTAAAAGAAAAGGTACAAAAACGCCTAAAAGAAAAAACGTGGGCTCGTACAGAAAAACCGTGGGCTCGTACACGAATAGATAACACAGATGTAGAACTAGAAAATTTGCACAAAGTAAGTCGAGAAACAACAGAGAAATACTTAAAAGCTGAAAGAACAAAGAAAAAGGAATGGATGACGGAGGAGATTCTATGTATGATGGAAGACAGACGAAACGCTAAAGATAATAAGAATTACTACAACAACATAAATAACGAAATAAAAAGGGCTATTAAAATAGCAAAAGAAAATTGGTTTAGCTCAAAGTGTACAGAGATAGAGTCATTACAACGAAAACATGATTCATTTATCCTCCATAAAAAGATTAAAGAGGCGGGAGGCTTATATAAACACAAGAACACTGGATTCCGGACAGATAATCAGGGAAACATAGTACTGGAAATAGAGCATAAAAGGGATATTTGGATTAAATACCTGGAAAAAAACTTTTGAAGATGTACGAAGTAAGACTGGTATCACAGCAAACACAAATTGCGAATCTGGACCACCATTTACAGTCAAAGAAGTAAAATATGCCATCAAAAGCACCAAAGATGGTGAAGCAGTAGGCCCTGATAATTTTCACTGAGAATTCTTAAAACTTATGGACTATGATGGCATAAAATGGTTGACAAATATATTTAACACTATATGATACAGGCATAATTCCCCAAAAATGGTTAGTGTCAACTTTTATAAATCTTCCAAAAAAACCCAATGCGAGAAAGTGCGAAGACTATAGAATTATAAGCCTTATGAGCCATTTACTTAAAGCATTTCTGAAGGTCATTCACAAAAGAATATATACAAAATGTGAGGAACAACTAACAAGAACACAATTCGGATTTCGTGATGCTCTGGGAACACGGGAGGCCCTTTTTGCTGTACATGTGCTATTTCAGAGATACAGGGATGTGGATTGTGACATATACGTATGCTTTATAGATTACCAGAAGGCATTTGACAGAGTAAAACATGACAAATTAATTACTCTAATGCAAGAAATTGGAATTGACAACAAAGATCTTAGAATTATCAGAAACATTTACTACAATCAAGCGGCCAAAATCAAAATAGAAGACCAGTTAACTGATAAAATTGCAATATAACGTGGAGTACGACAGGGCTGTATTTTGTCTCCATTGTTGTTCAATATTTATTCTGAATGGTATTTAAGGAAGCTTTAGACGGTTGTGCGAAAGGAATACTAATAAACGGTGAAATGGCTGAATAACAGATATGCAGATGACACTATAGTTTTTACCGATAATCTGAATGACTTACATATATTAACAAATCGCATAACAGAAGTCAGCAACAGATACGGACTAGCTCTTAACATAAAAAATCAAATTTATGACAATTAGTAAAAAACTAATACTAAACGCTCAACTTACAATCAACCAACAGAATATCGAAAGAGTCGAGCAATATACATATATAGGCACCAATTTAAATAGCCAATGGGACCACTCAACAGAAATTACAGACCATATATGAATCGGCTCGAAGCTTTCGAAATGTGGTGTTATAGGCGCATCTTACGTATATCCTGGGTTGACAGAGTTACTAATATGGAGGTCCTGCGTAGAATGGGGAAAGAATGTAAAATTCTCATGACCGTCACAACTAAAAAGTTGGAATATCTAGGACATGTAATGAGAAATCAAGAACGTTACGGCCTTCTCCAGATGATTCTTTAAGGGAAGGTAAATGGTAAGAGAGGACCGGGAAGAAGACGCATTTCCTGGCTTCAAAATTTACGAAAGTGGTATAACACGACTACCACTGAACTATTCCGCGCTGCAGTAAACAAAGTAAAGATAGCCGTGATGATCGCCAACATCTGGAATAGATAGGCACTTTAAGAAGAAGACGTGGCTATTTCTTGTTGTATTTTTAAACCTTTTAGTATTTAATTTGGTACACTATGCAAAATAACATACCTTAGCAAAATTCGGCACGATTTTCTCTCAGGAACTGTTTTCCAATTAATAGCCTCTCGTATTAATCCAAATGCATTCATTAATCCAAAACCAAATCGATCGCTTACCCAAAAACCTGCGGAATTTTGTTGCCATCCAGGATTGTGCGTCAGAGGTGCCAATTCGGAAGTCCATGTTATTAAATGTTGAACATCTCGCCAAGTTAAATTTCCGCTAAAAAGTTTAATTTGTAATAAATTCTATTGCCACAGTGCAAAAATAAGAATTCTTTGAAGAATTAATGAGAAAAACCAACAAAAACAAAAATATTAAACATAAAAATATAAGTCAAGTAAGTCAAAATTTGAAATTGAGAGGCAGATAAAGAACTGTAATGTTTATTTTAACACTAAAACACAATGAATTTATAACGTTTATTTATTTAACCATACCAATATATATTAGACTAACTTCTTAAGTTCTCAGTGCCTTTATTTATAGGTCGCCTATTTCCAAGTGTTTCCAGAATCCAGTGCAACTCTTGCTTGACATCAGAACAACTCCAGACGGCACGAAGGTTCGATCAGGGGCTTAGCAAGGAGCTGTCGTAGCATTGCCCCCTTCTTAAGAAATTGTTTTTTCTGGAACCTTGTCAGGACTGAAACTGGATGCTGGTATCGGCAACTGGATCATCTTTACAATTTCCACTTGAACAAAAGTGGCAAGGAACGGTTTTCGTTCCGCACCGGTAACTCTGCAGATTACAACAAACTATACTATCTTATCTTTAAAGACTTATTCCACCATATTTCTGACCCTACAATCGAATTGACGACATTCTAACTTTAGGCACGGATAATTTTTGCGTGTTGGACTCCAGCACGTACTTTCTGAATTGAATTCGTTTTCCATAGGTCTTGGTTAGTATGAGCTGTGTCTTTTATTACCAAATGGAAAACGTAACGTGATGCACTGCACCTGAGCCAAACAGGAAATCGATGTCAATTCTCGTGCGTCTTTAATAGTGGCTGGAATGGTATGGACCAGTGAGTATTCATCTAGAAGGACGAGTAGATCTTGCTTTTCAGGTATTTCTTGCATTTGGTTTACTTTTACTTTTTTTATTAACTTCGCGGTCTCTCCTTTGAATGGCGTGAGCAGGATATGGTGTACTATCATTGGTTTTTCGCCTCGGAATCTTGTTTATTCGATAGATAATTTGTTAATATTGTTCTGAGGCTATTTTCTTGTGGCATTTTAAATTAATTACTATTTAACTGGGAATAAGCCACAATTAAAGAAAACAAATACGTTTATTAACGTTTCAATTTCCACTTCGGAAATGGTTTTCAAAATACAAACGAATATTATAGGTCGCCTATTTCCAAGTGTTTCCAGAATCCAGTGCAACTCTTGCTTGACATCAGAACAACTCCGAACGGTACGAAAGTTCGATTAGGGGCTTAGCAAGGAGCTGTCGTAGCATTGCCCCCTTCTTAAGAAATTATTTTTTCTGAACCTTGTCAAGACTGAAACTGGATGCTGGTATCGGCAACTGGATCATTTTTACAATTTCCACTTGAACAAAAGTGACAAGGAACGGTTTTCGTTCCGCACCGGTAACTCTGCGGATTACAACAAACTAGTATCTATATGATTTTGAGAACGATTTCCGAAGTGGAAATTGAAACGTCAATAAACGTAGTTTTTATCTTTAATTGTGGCTTATTCCCAGTTCGATAGATGATATCGTTTACTTTTTACTTAATATGGAACGAACCTTCCCAGAACTGCTGCAAATCTGGAGAACCACCCTTTCACTTGGAAACAAAATTAACTCGTTTATAGCATCCATTTTTTTTTTCATCGTCGTCCGCATAATGCTCACCAGCTACATCTTCACCAGAACGACATCTAAACTCTAGATTACAAGGGAGTCGCATCTCCAAATAAGACTTTTTCTAATGGTTCGTCGGTTTATTTATTAACAGCGGATCTGTAGGCCATTTTGAAGAACACCCAGTCTTGCTGGTGATTAGACACCATTTGGCCATACTTGCCAACTGTCTCATTCATTTCGTTGACTATTCCATCTGATTACTTCGTCTATCACAGATTCTTTAGAATATATCGCTCTCAAAGTTGCTTCCTTGGTTACTATGGATCTCCAAGGGCACCTCAAATTGGCTGATGTACCCCTCGAACAACATATCTGCAATAGTGGCAACCCTTTTGACTTTCTGGAAATGGCCCAGCAATGTCCAAAACTATTTTTTCAAACTGACTTATCTCATTCTAATATCGTATTTATTATCTCATTGCATCCTTTTTTGATAGGGTCCGTTACTTGTGGTACAGGTAGTAGATTTCTTCAGTCATTTACATAGTCAAAACTAGTCATCTAATAGAAGTATTCCCTAATTTTCTGAAGGGTTTTCTTTATAGCAAAAAGTCTTTCTGATGGACTGTCGTGTAACTGACAAATTACTTTTGCCATTTTGTTCTTTTACAATCACAAACTATGTTTGGTTCTCGGAGTCATGTGACACTAAAACGAAAACACGATAAATTCATAGCATTTATCTATTTAACAGTACAAATATATTTATTAGACCCTTAAATTCTAATTAGATTTATATATAGTTCGCCTCTTTCTTCGAATTGTTTCTAGAATCAAGTAGAACTCCGTTTGACTTCAGAACAACGCCAAACGCCGCAAAGATTCGATCAGGGGCGTAGCGGGGGACTGGCGTAACAGAAAGGTTCATACTAAATGAACATACTTTAATGAAAAGTTGCTTAGTTTTAGACATAAGTACCAAGTATTAGAAGAGAAAAATAACTTAGACTTAAGAACATAATATTAGGCTCTAATGGCAATAACATCAATAATATTCTTGTAATACTTACTTAACTTCTAATGCCAAAGCTATGATTCCTGCTGCTAGTGGAGCAGAAGCTGAAGTTCCTGTGTGTTTAGTTGTACATGAATTTTTAATGTCTGTAGTTGTCTGAAATTATATTAAAGTCCAAAACTTATATAAAGGTAGAAGTAACTATAACCTCAGTTAAAACTTATCCTGGAGCAGATGTTAACTCAGACCACAATCCGCTAGTGGCTGACGTGAAAATAAAATTAAAAAGAATTGAACTCAGAAAACAACAACCATAAATTAATGTAAGAATGCTACAAAACGAAGAAATAAAAAACGAAATAAAAAATAATGTGAATGTTAATATGCAAAAAACACTAACTGATAACAAACAAATTATGGATGTAAATAAAAAGTGGTGTAATATAAAAAACACATTACTGAAACCAGCTCAAGAAAGTTTAATAGAACATAAATCAAAGGCTAAAAAACACTGAATGACAGAAGAAATACTATTGCTGATAGAAGAAAGAAGGAAATATAAAGGAAAAGATCTACAGAAGTATAAAGAAATACAACGAATAATTAAGGAAAAAATCAAAACAGCTAAGGAAATCTATTTGATGAAGCAATGTAAAGAGATAGAAGAACTAGAAACAAAATATGATGTGAGAAATATGCACAAAAAAATTAGAGAAGTGACTGGAATGGGTCGAAATAGACAGCAAGGACACATAAAAGACAAAAAAGGAGTACTACTAGTAGATTTACCAGATAAGTTAAGGCGATCGGAGGAGTACGTTAGAGAACTTTTCCAAGATGAAAGAGGTGAAATGCAGAAAATACAAGAATTAAATCCTTTAGAGATACAGAAGATCACGATAGATGAAATCAAATATGCTATCAAAAACTCTAAAGACAATAAGGCAGCTGGATTAGATGAAATACCAGTAGAACTGTTAAAACTAGTGGAAGAGGGCAACTTGAAAGTATTGGCAGATTTATTCAACACTGTGTACGATACGGGAATAATACCACAGGAGTGGCTAAAGTCAGCATTTATAACCATCCCTAAAAAACAAGCAGCAAAAGAGTTTCTCTGATTATCGAACACTGAGCCTCATGAGTCAGACTTTAAAAGTTCTGCTAAAAATAATACATAAGAGAATATACGAAAGGCTAGAGGAGGATATTAGAGAGATGCAGTTCGGGTTCCGAAATGGAATGGGTACTCGAGAAGGACTATTTGCCATCAACATATTAATTCAGCGATGTCGGGATGTAAATGTTGATCTACACTTGTGCTTCGTTGACTACGAAAAAGCTTTCGATAAAGTAAGACATGAAAAACTAATATCAATACTTATGAACAAGCACATTGACAGTAAAATCATAAATATAGTGCAAACATTATATTGGAACCAAAGTGCCATAGTTCAAATTGATGGACAACACTCAGAAGAAATGAGGATCTGTAGAGGAGTTAGACAGGGATGTGTGTTATCACCACTTTTGTTTAACTTATATTCTGAAGAAATTTTCCAAAACACGCTCAATAATATCGAAGCGGGAGTCATCGTTAACGGAAAATTAATTAATAATTTAAGATATGCAGACGACACTGTGATCATAGCAACGACTATAGAGGATCTACAACATCTTATCGAAAGCTTGAGTATAAATAGTGCTGAGATGGGAATTACTATAAACGCTAAAAAACGAAGTACATGTTGATTACAAAAAGGCCACAAAATATACATCACCTATTGACAATAAATGGTAACTTGATAGAACAAGTAGAAAAATATCAGTATTTTAGAACTTTGATCAATGAAACTAATGATCATACTGTAGAAATAAACAGACAAATAGAGATTGCCAGATCAGCATTTATACGAATGAAGCCACTCCTAACGTGCAAAAATCTAAATTTGGAGATCAGACTACGTACCATTCGCTGTTATATATTTTCAATATTATTATATGGAGCTGAGACTTGGACATTAAAAAAAATGTAATTTAAAAAGAATCGAGGCCTTCGAACTCTGGTTATACCGCAGATTATTGAAAATATCATGGACTGATAGAATTACAAATAAAGAAGTACTGGAGAGGGTTGGAAAAGAAACAGAACTAATCACCACTATACAAATCAGAAAACTAGAATACCAAGGCCACGTGATGAGGGGACCAAAATATGAAATTTTGAGACTGATAATACAGGGAAAGATTCAAGGAAGAAGATCTGTTGGCCGAAGGCAGAACTCATGGTTAAAGAATCTACGTGATTGGTACCAATGCAGATCGATTGATTTGTTTAGAGCAGCAAGTTCTAAAATAAAAATAGCCATTATGATTGCCAACCTCCGTAGGGAGACGGCACTCTAAGAGGAAGAAGTAATGGATTTTGACAAGAGCTGTGACCTTGAAAATAACAGGTAAACTTGTGTACTGAATCGGCATGACTCATGGCTCTTGTTAAAATCCATTACCTCTATAAAAATTTATTATATAATTCTAATAAGTAATTAATAATGTCAAAATTGTGATGTAATGGCGAAATTATTTGGGCAATATTAATTATTATCCAGTCCCAAATTAAATTACAGGTAACAAAAATTACTTACTATCATCTGATCTTTGTAAGCTCCCGAAGAATATGTAACAGCTAAAGTGGAAGCACATGCCTCCCCATACCATGGAAATTGTCCCTTTTGTGAGGCACTTCCTATAGAAATTGTATACGGACTGGCCAAATAACCATCACAATTGCAGTTATCATTATTGTTACCTCCATTACCTGAAGCCCATACGTAGATAACTCCTTTACCACCACGTCCCTATATAAAAAAAATGTAATAAATTATTTTAATACAATAGTTATTGAATTTTAGTAGAAAATAAAATTAGCAAAAAAATTCTTGAATAATTTTTAAAAATTTCAATTTTGGAAAAAAAATTTTCACCTGGAGTGTATCGATTATCTTTATTATTACCCTTTTATCAAAATTGTCGTTGTTGTGAACTCTAATAGCTAAATAAATATTTTTTTCCAATAATATTTTGATCTGGTCTTTTGTCTCAAAAATATTAGTTAGCTATTTCAGTGTTTTTTTAATATTGTGTTTTAAAAGTTTATTTGGCTCTTACTTCTCGTATTCCTCTTTCTATAGCCTCCATTGCCAATCTACCTGGACCATCAACAGTTTTTCCATCATCATTGGGCCCCCAAGATGCGCTGTAAATATCGACCAAATGTTGAGCATATCCTAGTGCAGTACCTTCAATTCGATCGGTAATGATGCCATCTAACATTTTTACAGCTAAAAATATGAATTATAGAGAGACACTGTGACATGATAAAAAAACGTGTCAATCTAATATTTTTAAAGTTAGGTACTTAATACTACTTTTAGTGACTATGTTTAAATATTATATGCTATTATTTCTTTTATACATCTGATTGCTTAGTTTCATAACACATATATGCCAAAAATTTAATTATCAAAAATTAATTTTTACAATGCCTGAAAACAATATAGCAATTGACCTATTTTGTTTTTTGTCAATGCTTTACTAATATTCTTATTTACGACTTCCTTTTCATATATAAAATATGACCTAATGACTTACTGGTTCATTGGCGCCTATTATTATTGAATATTTAACTGATAACGTTTTCTTAAAAAGAAAACAATGCAAAAAGTAACGTAATCATCGGGACCTAAAAATCAAAGACTTATTCATCTCTGATCTCTCCACACCATCCATACCAGTGTATATACTCTTGTGTCAACACTCTAACTCTTTTTATCAGCATACATAACTCTTTATCATTACAAACTTGCCTCCCTCTTTTTATGTACACTCAAAAATTTTCTTATACATATATTTATATAGGTACACACATATATTTTACGTCATATTTGTATATGATGTAAAGAGATAAAATGTAAAGAGAAACGAGAGGCCTACACGAAGTACAAAACATCAAATAACCTAGAATGTCGAGACACCTATAGAAGAATACGAAAGTTGATAAGAAGAACAAACAATGAACACTGGGAACAGTTTACAAAAAGGATAGAAAGCGACTTCTACGGTACACAAAAACAAATATGGAGATTACAACCAAAGAAACCAAAGGAAAGAAATGGCAGACTTGAAGGAATACAATAACGTACCAGCAAACAAATGGGAAAGATACCTAACGGAACTGTTTAAGGCAAAGGAAAATAATAATCAACACAATAACGTACCTGAATTAAGACAAGAAATAGAAATCAGTTTTCAGGAAGTAGAAATAGCCATAAATTGGCTCAAAAATAGAAAGTGACCAGGACCAGATGAAATAACCAACGAGGTTCTAAAACACGGAGGAGAAAGTATAACCCTAGAGATGACAAAACTTATACAAAAACTAATATTGCACTGCAAGATACCAGACGCATGGAAAAATAGCATAATAATATCCATGTTTATTAAAGGAGATAAAGAAGACCCCAACAATTATAGAGGTATAAATCTACTGAACACTGCACTTATACTTATCAGAAAAGTCCTATGCAACAAAATAAATAAACTAACAACTTTATCAAATGAACAGCAAGGATTCAGATCCGGAAGATCCTGCATAGACAACGTATTGTAAAGACAAATCACAGAAAAGGCCATCGAGTACAATAAACCAGCACATCTATGTTTTATAGACCTGACAAAGACTTTCGATCGCTTACCAGTCAAAGACGTCCTACACCTACTGTATAAAAGAAACATACCAATCAACATTACACAAACCATCGAAAACATCTACTTCCAATCTTCCAATTTAATCTAATACAGGCAAAGGTAAGTGGAAAAATAACACACTCTATACCAGTACAAAGCGGAGTCAGGCAGGGTTACTAGTTAACTTGTTGACTTCTCTTTAATATAATAATGGATGAAATAATACAAGCAGTACGTAAAGGTCATGGCTACAGAATGGTTAACACAGAAATCCAAATATTATGTTATGAAGACGACGCCGCATTAATCCCCGAGGCAGAAGATGAACTCCAAAGATTAACGCACATATTTAATACAACAGTCAAGAAATACAACATGATAATATCAGCAGAAAAAACCAAATGTATGACAACATCTAAATACCCACTACGATGTAAAATCGAAATTGATGAGAATTGAGAAGGAGAGAAGCGAAAACATAAGAAGAGCATGCGATATAGAAGACAAATGGATGTGTGCAAAAACAGAAACAGGAGTGGAACGAACACATTAGTAGAATGGCAGAGGATAGGAGAGTACAAATAGCACGAGATAAATCACCAACTGGACGAAGAAGTATTGGCAGACCCTGAAAAAGATGATGCGACAATTTAAATAATTTAGGAGGCTAATATTGAAGAAGAAACAGGCTTTACAGTCTACATATAAGAAGGAAGAAGAAGAAGAAGACATATATTTTACAACAAGCCTGTTTCACCATTTCACTAGTAGCTTCTATTCATTGCCAACAATTGTCAATTTGCAAAAGTCAATTACCTTTGCATTCTCATTAAAAAAAAATTGTGTGTCTTAAAGTAAATGCGGCCAGTCAGCACCAATATTCTTATAAAATTTGCGGCCCTTATATAAAAAAAGGATAAAGATCTCTGGATTAAGTCATGACCATAAAACAAAAAGGCCAACATAGTAGCTGAAAAATTCTAAATGAATATGTGACTTAGACTATAATACGCTCGTGTTGGTCAATCGAATCGGCATATGGATAAGCAGTACGGAAACAGATGAGAGCGTGCGACTACGTATTACTCTTCCATATATCCCTACCACCTCTGGTAGGTTCTTTAACTTAAAAAATCAAAACATTTCAAACATCGACTTAAAATTTCTCATTTTCAAATATTTCAGTTAAGATTTAAGTTTTTGGTTGTTTAGATCTTTAAGTTTTGTACTAATGGCGACAAAATCAATATTATATAAACTTTTGCAAAAAAATGGGCACAAAGACTGTTATCGACGCTCCAATACATAAACACCCCACTAGGACTGTTCAGAGATTCCACGAATATACGACTGTTTTGAATTATTGCGACAACGAATATTTTACTGTGCAAGTAGAAGTATGAAAGTAAATTGGTCTAATCATTATTCCAATAAAAAAAGTCTACTGTTAGTATGACATCTAAACTAAAATTATTTTAGTTAATGATATCAAGCGCATTACCACAAACTGGATGCAAGAAGTTCAAAATAGAAATAGGTGGAAAATTTTACGGGAGGCCTACGTTCAGCAGTGGACAAATATAGGCTAGTTGATGATGATGATGATGACAACTGCAATAAAAAAATGATGGTTCAGAAACCAGAAAAAGAATCTAATATTTCACTTAGTTTTAAATATTTGTTTGCTTTGGGTAGATGTACTCTTAAAAATTCCGAAAGTAACGGGTATAACATACCGTCTATTGATAGTTAAAGCACCGAGTCGTTACAGATATTAAAAAGTAACGAAAATTTACATACAGTTTCATATATCGCCGACTGATTTTAGTTTTAAAACCGTCCGTATAGAGGTGTCCGGTGAAGAGAGGTGTCCGTTAAGAGAAAGTTTAGTGTAGTGTATTTGTTTATTGAAGCCAAAGATGTCGAGACGTGTTTTAGATGTAGATAACTTTATATTTAATTCCTATTTTACTGCTGAGAAAACCAACGGGGGTCCTTTGCGACCAGTTCAGTCCATATATAAACATGTGTGTGATGTACTCTGTATTAAGGAAACAAAATTAAAGTCGGTTTTGCAAAAAGCAAAAAAAAAGCGCAAAAAAGAACATTTTTTTTAGATTCAGTGCTACAAAAATTAAAAGACAGAAATATATTTGAAATTTTCAGAACAAGTCTCTAGAGAGTTTTAAGACTGCTTGGCTTTAAGTTAAAAAAAAAGACAATAGAAAGACTTTCTGTGAAAGGGCTAGTCGTTCACAAAAGAATAGAATTTTTAAAAAATTATAACAAATTTAAAAAAGAATGTTCTTCCTTCGTTTATTTAGACGAAACATGGATTTTTACTAAGGGCGGTATCCAACGAATTTGGCAGGACGAGAGTATAAAATCCATAAAACACATCGATAAGGAGGGAAAGAGATATATTATGGTGCATGCAGGTGGAAAACATGGTTTTATTGAGGGAGCAGATTTTGTGTTTTGATCAAAATCAAAATCAGCCGATTATCATGACAATATGAATACGGAGATGTTTGTGGAATGGTTGAAAGAAAAACTGTTGCCAAGTTTATATGAACCATCCGTTACAGTAGTGGATAATGCTTTAAGCCTCAATTACTAACGTTAGCTAAAAGTCATGCACAACCAAACATATATAGTAATCGAAATTATACATATTATGATAACTATATTGGATACAAGGGTTACAGTGACGAGGCAGACTTGGAAACATGCATTGGATATTGCCACTCCTGAAATTTGGGAAAAAAGTGTAAAAAAAATGTGAAGACTTAATTGAAGAATGTTGGATCCGTGAAGTTCGCATCGAAGCAGTTAATCCTGTTATAATTTACCATCCAAATGAGGATAGCGACGACAGTGATTATGGCTGTGAATCTGATGGTTGATGATAGTTTTAGGAGATTAGGAGAATAAGATAATAAGTAAGTTTTTTTAATACTAATTGAATATTCGACCAAATAAATTACACTATTTAATCACTTAAGTAAAAACCAATTTGTTTACAATACTAAACTTAATGATAATAATTATATACTTCTGATTCTGAATACAATACAATGATAAAATCTGAATTACAACTATTCTATAAACTATCAACTCTATATTTATATCATGACTTTATATTTAAATCTAAGGATAATATCTTCTGTCATAACAGTATTTAAAAAATGGGGATAATTTACTATTGTACAATTCAGCACATTGGACCATTTAAATCCATACCTTAAACAGTTGTACATTCGTACATTATTCGTACATTCGTACAACTAATGGAGTTATAAGTGTTTAACCAAGCCTGGCGTTGTAAAATCAACAATTTATAGACTTTAGAAGTAACACAAGTAACGAACTATTCCAAAAACTCCGAAAATGTCAACAGGAAGAAAATTCTAGCAAATCCATATTTATTCCAAATACACAAGATTGTAAAACACATATTAAAAAATGGTGCATTTCTTTATTTTAAAAATTGGATATCTACTGTGGGCAAATGCTCGAATTAGACTTCGTTTGGGAGAAGTATGGTAAAAATAAGGGCTTATAAAGTGGAAATAATTTCGAATGGTAATATAAAATGCAGAGTAGTGCATTCAAAAATACCAAGTAAATAGTAAATTTGTGTTTTGACTTATCCTGTGTTAGATTTAAAGAGTTAACTAATTATTTTTAAAAATTTTGACAATTATTTAAAAACTATGGCTTCAATAGGTCGTTTCTTTTCCCCGTTTCACTTTTAATTATACAGGGATTGGAACATACTAAAATTTTCATTGAAATTTGGTTATAAATTATATATTATAAGAGTTATGTCAGTTTTGCTAATGGAATAAGTTCGCAGTCAAAGGAAACACCTTGAACTAACTCGAAAGAACTTTCAACTTGCATTTCTGTCAATAGGAAGTGAAGCAATTTTTAAATTTAAAATAAGATACAGGGTGCTTAATTAACAAAACATATCGTTGATGTAGTACAGTGTTATGGAAGACCTTGTATATTTTATTCTTATTTAAAAAAATATTCTTTTCTTTTTTAATATAGATCTTATACTATTTTAATATTAAAAAAGTAATGAAAACCTCCAACTTTTGCTCCAAATGCTATTCCAACGCCACATTTTCGATTATTAGCCATCATAGCTACCTCTCCAGCGCATCTAGTACCATGATTATTGGACTTCGGTGCATCTAGTCTAGGATATGGATCATTATCGTCCTCGTTACAATCCCAACTTATTTCAGGATCCTAAATACAATAACTTATTTTAGTATTCAAAACTATGTAGTATCTAGTAAAGTACTGTTAAGATCCCCGACAAGGTCCGTTACCTTAAGTATGTTAACCACCATTAGTAATATTTATATTTGAAATTTATGCCTGCCTGCATCATCTTGGCTGGATTGAGTAGCTCTAGGTCATGGTGTCGGTCCCATGCTCGAATAAATGAGGAGAAACTTCGGGATAGGTTAGGCCCCTGCCTGGATGAAAACATTTAGGCTCACATAACCAAAGCTGCTTCGGAACCAAAGCATATTAAATCGATGACGAATAATGCAACGGCAAAGCGCAAACAAAAATGGAAACAAAGATTAAACATAACCAGACTTGGCTTCTGGAACATATCATCTTGGAATGGAAGCGACCAGAAAGCAATTTTGAAATAAGAAATCATAGAATAGACAATTGTAGCTTATCAGAGACTAAAAATAAAGGCCAAGGAACAATGTATCCTAATATTTAGTGGCAAACGCAAACAAGACCTAGTACACTTAGACGTAGGCATTCTATTATACTAGAAATACATAAAAAGTATTGAACAAATAGGATACGTAAATAATAGAATTCTACAGGCATTTACAACATTTTGCAACACACTACAAGAAGCCATCGACAAAATTAATGACAATCAAAAACTAGTAATTTTTGGAGATCCTATTTAATGCTACGATAGGCAATAACATACTACTAGCAGTGAAACAAAAATTCAAAGTATAAGATTATAGATGCTATCAGTGAGAACGAAGAGTTTCTGTTTGATCTCTATGCTAGAAACAAGATGATGATTACCAACACGTACTTTCCACACAACGACCAATACAAATACACGTTCTGCAAAGAAGAAGCCAAAAATCGATGATAGATCACTAAGAGAACTATCAGATCATCACAAATACTAGCCTCACCTAACACTGAAACAGACTATAAGATGGTTTTATGTAAAATCAGATAGAACGGCCGATTCAAGTTAAAAGATGTCTAAATGAAAAGATATTTACAGTAAATTAGAAAACATTAACATGCGCAACTATTAAGTCAAAGAATGCTGGAACGAAATCAAAAATTGCATCAAAAAAAGCTGCGGAAAGGTCCATAGGAAAACGGAAAACAAACACCAGTGCAACAAGGAACAATTAACCTTGGTTTTGTCCAAAAGTTGTTGATGTAGTAGTAGTAAAAGTAGTTGACGTAAGAACTTATATAACAAAAAGGAAAAATTTTCATAAAAAAGTGGCGGTACAAGGAGGAACAACGTTCAATCTAAATAGAAATCAGAAACAGAATTAACTCGCAAATACAGCCAATAAAAAGGGAAGTTCACAAGAGAATTTTTGCCTGGAGAGGCAATGAGGCCGTAACCTGCAAGATTCACTTTTTCAGAAGGTATTTAATATTATGGGAGAATTAACGGGCCGAATTGAATATAACAACATTTTTTCCAAAAAAAATCAAGGCGGTTCGAAAACAAGGCAAGCGACAAATGGATGGTAAAAAAAATCATCAAACAAAAATTTCTGCCCAGTTAGATTATTTTTGAAATTAATGGAAAAAAGAGGACCAAAGATTTTATCGGACAGACTCTTTCTTATTGTTTACCCCAACTGAAAGGATGGATCTTCGTCAGCTGAAAAAATTGGAATAGACACAAAAAAACATAAAATAACAAACCATTCTCATCGATTTTCAACTATGTCAGTCTTGTTCAAGCAAGGTGTTTTTGATCAGGAGCTAATTAAATTAACGGGTTACTCAAAAGCAACCTCTATAAAACCATATCTGCAGCTGGATTTCAGTCACCACCAGTTGATCGAAAATCTCAGAACAACAAATTAAGCTGGACTTTCGAGTTCCCAAATGCTACAGGTCACTAATACACAAAATCGTGCTTTAGTAGAAAGAATGGGCAACTACTATAACTAATAATAAATGTACATTTAATATTGTTAACAAATAAATAAAAATTATGTTTCGCTGATATGGTGCATTAATTGAAATAAAACCAGCGACGAACCGGAACACACGAAATATATTACTATATTATTTAACATAACTTTAGACAGAAAAAAGGACTGGCATTCCAATATACCAATTCCGATTTTTAAGAAAGGTCAAATATTATGTTCCAACAACTACAGAGGAATGAAATACGACAATGAAGCTATTCACAACACGAGTCAAGGACAAATTAAAATCAGGAATTGACATCATAGAAGAACTACAAAGTTTCAGAGACGATAGGTCGACGACGAATGCAATATTCATTATGAAGCAAGCGAAAGAAAAATCGTTCGAATACAATAAGCCAACATATATACGCTTTGTTGATCTAACAAATAACAAAAGTAGTTGATAAAGTCGAACTCAACGATTTATTACGAAAATTGGAGGAAATGAATCCCGACAAACATCTTGGAAATCGTTAAACAAATGAACAACAAATATATACGATAAAAATTAAAACATACGACACCACTACGGCTAATACGTTAATCCCATGGGGAATCAGATAGAGAGATCTGTTCAACATATGCATGGACGAAATAATAGAAGAGCTGGGATCGCTACGAACTAGCATACAAGTTCGGATATAGCAATATTGGTATAGAGTGCTATGTGGACGATGCAGCTCTGATTGCAGGGAATGAGAACGACCTACAACGACAACTTCACAGGTTCTAGCAAGCATGCAGTTGGCTTAACATGAACATTTCCAAGCAGAAAACGAAGAGCATTACTACAACTGAAGGTGCAATTAAATGTAAGCTCGTAATGGAGAAGAAACCCATAGAACAGCATCAGTGGCAGACTAAGGCAAAATCAGGCTCTAGGCAACATTGTAATTCCAGGCCTATTTTTCAATCATGGCACATATTTTGCGTTTGGTAGTTTGTTTTTAAAATTATAGTATGTAGTTCTTTAATTATCGTATTCTAAGCGAAAATTGAAAATGCTTACATAAACTCTCAGTATTGTGTTTGAATTTGGGAATGTGGCAATATTATTTTTCTTAATAAATGACCACATGTGGACAGGCGAAATAATATCTTCTTATAAATCTCTCTGTAATTATAAAATACTTAAATTGTAATACTTCATTTTTCATTTCTGCTAGGTTTAAATCTTGTTCATAACATTTTTATTCCTGTATTGAAGAGCCACCAACATCACTATCATGAAAATTGTTTTAAATTTAATGTTAATCGTAGTCAGTGAAGTTTCCATGTTTTGCCAATTTTTTATGTAAACTTTTCAAATCATTACTCCGTTTTGCCATTCGCGTTGTTTACTTGGAAAATAATTTACAGACCTAATAATACAGTAATTTGTTGATTTCAATATAATACAAACAATCTCATTTAACTTTTTTCCTGTTATTCATAGTTTAGAAGAAAGAGGCAATAGTTAATTTCCTTGTGATTTGTTTTGACACTTCATTACATCGAATAGAAGATGATTCCAAAGATTAATTTATTGATTTTAGTGGATTTTGTATAATACTCACGCATATCGTCTGTTAAGTATCTGGCCATAATGTAATGTCGTTTACAAAACTCTTAGTTTTATGATTACTTTGAAATGATTTTTTTTTTTATTTCACGTCATCACAATCGGAATTGCTTGGTTTTTCCTTCTGGTCTTTTTGCAGAATAGTTTCGGACACAAATGATGTTTCTGGAGTTTAAACTGCTGAAATTTGTGAAAATTATGACGACTGTGGTAATTGCTATCCATCTTTAGTTACAAAATTTGCCAAAGTTCTTTTCATTTGGTTTGCCACTTTATCTGTATCTACTTTTCGTGTTATTTTTTAACACCCACTTAAAATTGTAATATAAACTCATTTAAAAGACTACGTACTAAGAGGAAAATGATCTTCAATTAAATGTATTTTACTCCATATCACAATCACTATTTATGATATATATTATTTAATTAAATGATGTTATATTTTTATAAAATCTTAATTTTTTTTAATAATTCGACGATATTAATTAATCCAATTAATTTTTCTTAGGAGCAGCAGCTTTTCTAGCCTTTTGATGAACTTGCGGAAGCCTTGGCGGTTTTTGGCTTAGACGCCTTTGGTTTTTTTCGTAGGACTGTCTTTATTTAATCTCTTCGCTTTGGTTGGTGTTTTTACTTTATCTTTTGCGGAAGTCGGAACTGGGAATGAAGGTGAAACTGTTTTAGGAGCTGACTTTTTCTCAACTTTCTTCGGCTTGGCCGGCTTTATCTGTCTTTGATGGTACTTCTTAAGTAGAAGTAATAGCCTTAGTCACTTTCTTTGCAGATTGTGACTTTTTGCTGGTAGCAGAACGTTTAGCGGCGGTGGCAGTTTTTATCGGTTTAGTTGTTCCTCCAGCTTTCATTTTGCTCCTGAACAGGGCTTTGTAGATCCAGAACAGGATGAGATAAACACCAACTTGAAAATCCTTACGCTCCTTTTCCTTTGTTAACACCAGCGATCCAGTAGCAACTGCAGCTCTTAAATATTTTTTGATGAATGGTGCAACTTTTTCCGCATTTACTTAGTAATTTGCAGCGATATATTTCTTGAAAGATTAAAGATAAGAACCACCTCTTTTTGGATTTTTTGTCTTCTTTTCATTTTTGAATGATGAAGGTGTTTGTGGCCTTCCAGATTCCGACTTAGCTGAAGTGATTGATTATTCTTCTCGTAGCACTATAACCCGGGGTTCGTCTTGGCTAATTGCACAACTTGCTTTCATCTTGAACGGTCGTCCATAATAGTTAGGTTAATGGGTAGCCCCATTGTGCTTAGATCTGACCATATATTGTCTCTCGCCCATATATCGACCCTATATGTCGCTTGTTCTATACATCTGGTTAAACTTAGCATTTGTTTTCATTCGGTATTTCTGAAGATTTCCTCTCAAAACATCTAAGTTTTCTTTCAGTTTCTTTGGTCAGGGTCCACGTCTCACACCCATACATGAGCACCGGTC